GGCAGCAAATGCAAGCTGAAGAATAATAATAGGACACAGGATGACACAGAGTGTTATGGTACCACCAAGAATCAAAGAGGTATGCTTTTACATAAATGTTATTATGACTCGCATGTGGATTCATGAATGATATTTTAATGATATTTTGGTCATTCCCAAACAACTTGACACTTTTTAGCCAGTCTAGACTTCAAAACTACAACCTTATACTTTTAACCATTCCACAATGTTATGAATACTTATTGCAATGCTCACTAATTTAGCTGTTTTAATTTTGCCTTGTTTTAAGTTGTTAAAATTTTTCCTGACTTTAGTTGTTCAATTGCCCTAGTGTTTGTTCTTTTGGTACTTTGGTTTTGACTTGCTTTTATATGGTATCTCTCTCTCTCTTGCTTTCTTTCTTTCTTTCTTCCTTTTATTTATTTATCTAATTTTGATTTGATAAACACATCAAGCTGCTGATTGTTGAAACGTTTTGCAGTTATGCGGAAAATGCTATTGGTTGCGGGCATAATCCTAGGTTTCGGTCTATTTGTAATAATCCTCATTGGACTTTACCGTGTGCACCACCCATATAGATCAAAGAAAGAGGGCCAACTCAAGATTGAGAAATTTCTGGAGGATTACAAAGCACTCAAGCCCTCAAGATATTCTTATGCTGATATCAAGAGAATAACAAATCAGTTCAGGGACTAGCTAGGAGAAGGTGCTTATGGAACTGTTTTCAAAGGAAGGCTTTCTAATGATGTTTTGGTTGCAGTTAAGGTCCTCAACAATTTCAAAGCAACTGGAGAAGAATTCATTAATGAAGTTGGATCAATGTGCAGAATCCATCATGTCAACGTCACTCGATTGGATTTTGTGCAGATGGAAATAAAAGAGCTCTTGTTTACGAGTACATGCCAAATGAATCATTGGAGAAGTTTATCTTTGCAACCAGGGACCAAAATCGTTCCCTCAGTTGGGAGAATCTTCAAGATATTGCAATAGGAATAGCGAAAGGAATTGAGTACCTGCACCAAGGTTGTGATCAATAAATCCTTCATTTTGACATCAAGCCTCACAATATCTTGCTAGACCATAACTTCAATCCTAAGATCTGCGACTTTGGTCTAGCAAAGCTCTGTTCCAAGGAACAAAGTGCTGTTTCTATGACAGAAGCTGGAGGAACAATGGGATACATTGCCCCTGAGGTACTGTCTAGGAACTTTGGAAAGGTGTCATATAAATTAGATGTTTATATGGAATGCTATTGTTGGAAATGGTAGGAGGGAGGAAGAATGTTGACATCACAGTGCGGAATACAAGCCAAGTTTATTTCCCAGAATGGGTGTATAATTGCTTGGATAGAGGAGAAGTGCTGGGGATTAGAATAGAAAATGAGAGGCATGACAAGATAGCAAGAAAACTTACAATTGTTGGACTTTGGTCAATCCAGCGGTACCCAACAGACCGACCATCAATGAAATCTGTGGTTCACATGTTGGAAAGAGAAGCAGACAGTTTGACAGTGCCACCAAATCCCTTTGGCCATGCAGATGGAGCGCTGACAAGTGCCAATATCCCTAGGAGACCAATTAACAGAGAATTACCAGTAATCTCTGAATTAGAATGATGAAAATTCTTTCTATTCTACACTTTTTTTTAATATTTTCTAAATAATTGTACTACAAAATGAAACTTATAATAATTGTGCTAAAGTCTGAAATTTGTAATAATTATACTATATAAATCCCCTAGTTGAAGGAGAGTTTATATTTTTATTTTAATCTAGTAACAATCTTAGTTAACAATGCAAGGACATGATATAAATCTCTTTGTTTCAAATAAAAATTGGTCGGGTTCGCCTCTGCTTTGATAGATACTTTGGACATGTTGAGAGAACTAGAGTTGGCTATTTACTAAATCAACAATCCAGAATATTGGGAAAATATGCAACAGTTTCCTTGACTAAGCACATTTACCTGCCAATGCATTTGGAGCAGACCTCTATGTTCTAGCATCATGTAACATAGTTGGCTTATACTTGCATGATGTGTGGTTGGAAATTCAAAATGAACTACAATAGACCGGGGAGACATTTCAAGGAGCTCAACTTCGGGACTTTTGCTCATTGAAGGATGAATGACAAGTTTCGTTTGCACTGGTTTGATTTGTTTTGATTCCGTGGTTTACTCAGTTTATACATTGCCCTAATTTAGAGGACAATGGGAAAAATTTGCTTCTAATAACAGTTATTACACTGACCTCCTGGTTGTTTGATATATGAAACTGTTCACAACCACTTAAATTTCAAAATAGAAAGTTAAGTGTAGAATTAAAAAAATTAGAGTTGCTACCTACCCAAATAATGGTGGAATAAGTCACCACGTCTATGAGAAATCAAGGTTTGAAAGACAAATCAAGTTTTGGAAGTATGGTTAGGATTTAGGAGTGAGGAAGGACATATCTAGACCTCACAATCCTCTCACAATCCTTCATATAAATCATGGTTGGTTACTTTAAAATTAGAGATAAATTGAAAAGCAAATAAGCATACAAATAATCTTATTAATATATTTTTACTTGATTTTTTTTTTCTTGAGACCAAGAAGACTTGAAGCCAAATTCAAGAAATGATGTCTGAAACAGAAAGGAAATTATACTATGAAAACCATACTCAGCTCATTTCATTTAGACTAAGAGGGTGTTTGGGAGAGCTTAAAAAGCAAGTTTGCTTTAAGCAAATTCTTCTCTCACAGATTTAAAAATTTGTTGGAAAGAAATTCAAAAATAAACTTTTAAGGTAGCTTTTTAGCTAGTTTTGAAAAAATTTGGATGTGTAATTTTTTCAAAACTTGCTAAAATGCTACTTTAAAAGTTAATTTTCAAATTTCTTTCCAACAAAATTTTGAATTTGTGAAACAAGAATTTACTTAACGCAAACTTGCTTTTTGAGCTCTCTCAAACACCCTCTTAGGAGAGAAATATACAAATAAGACCAAGTGCAATGAATTCTATGGGACAAAATCACATTCAACATAACTGAGTGCAAGCTCCAAAGCAGAGAACATTATTCTAAATTTCTATTAAGTTTAAAAAAACTATACATATATATATATATATATATATATTTGAAGTTTATAAAGTTTCCAAGAAGAACAATCCAGCGAAGGAATACAAATTTCATTCATTTTTTCATTCTTCTGCTTTTTGGGAAGCCAAATTCATGACATACCAGAATTGACTAACTTGTATGCCATGCATCCTAAAATTACAGAAACTCAATTAATTAATTTTTTTATTTAAAGGAATGCAACCATAAATAGGAATGCCAAGAAAAAAAAAAAAAAAAAAAAAGGATCATATTTATAAATCATGGAACCAATGAAATAGAAAGCTCCCCCACTAAAAATGACATTGGCTCCAAGAAAACGAGTCTGCCACAGCAAGAAACATACAAGAATCATTAAGGAAGGCATGGAATTCCAACCAGTATCATGGCTTTGAAAGACTAATCTGAAATGGATGCATCAGGAAAATACGAAAACCTTCAAACTATTAGAATGCAAAATGTCCAGAGAAGGAAAGCAACACCACGGATATGCGAAAATCTGAAATCATGACTTCACAAGTAAGGAGGAATTTACACAAACAAATAATTGGGGAGCACAGTGGATCAAAATTAATTCATAAAGCAGCAGTCCCCACAATAAGAGGCGCAGACAAGATAAGATGTATAGAATCTCGAATTAGGGAGACCCAATGTTGAGTCGGT